TCCACCTCGTTATTATTCGGTAGAGGGAAAGCTACTTTTATGTTACAACTCTGTGCCGTAAGCGGTATAATACTAGATCTGCGGATTCTACAATGCAACAAAAACTTCTGTCGTAGCATAATTGCATTGTAATTTGAAAAAAAAAACTCAATAAAAGCATAAAAATGTTAATGTTTTCTATACTTAATACATGAAAATTACTTTGATAACACTGAAGCTCAGTTTTGTAATCAATTTAAATGGAAAGTTTGTAAAAAAAGAAACAAGAAAACAAATTCTAGAGTTAAATTGCTTTAAAGATTTTAAAATAAATTATTTTTTAATCTTGTAAATTTATTTAATTTTTAGGAAAATTAGAATATTTAAATGATTAACTGTATATTAAAATCAAGTCTGAATTATTATTACATATTTATTGTAGAATATAGATACATTGAGTGTAAGAGTTTATTTTCAGAGGAATATTTATCCATTTATCCGGTACTTGAAATGTGGAGAAATTTCACAAGATTTTAATTCAGATACCATTAAAATTAGGTGTAAAAAGAATATTTAATACTCCTAATATTCTTTTTGAAATACTGGCCAGTCAACAAATTCAGTTTAATGGCATTAATGTTCGAAAAATTAAATGGTTTTCTTAATAGGCTCGAATGTTTTTGACGTATATAAAATGCCATCCTCAGAAAACTCCTTTCCAAATAAATAAAAAAAATATTATGGATTTTTATGCTATAATTATATTTTATTATTAATGAAATTATGAACGCAGGCCTATTAAATTCTTTTACCTTTTTCCTAAATAAAATATAGCTTAAATCTCAATTTTATCTGTTAAATTATAAAAAATGTTTTTTAAAAAAAAATATTAAAGCATCAAAGATAAATTTATTTTAATTTTATCTTTCTAATGGTAGCATTTATTGGATTTAATAATAACTCTCTTTCAAATATGCCAGAGTATTTGTATACAAGTAATCAGATTCCTTTCGTTGGATCTGGGTTCAGACTAATGCACCGACTTAACAGAAGTTTCTAATGTAATGGAATTAGTTAGTAGAGCCAGAGGAAAGTCATTGTATTTGGGTGCAGATAACTCTGTCCCTATAATTGAACGGATCGTTGTCCTAAGAGGAAAAGGAGAAGAGATCTTTACCTGCTTGTTACCATGACGACCTTCCTACCATCAGACTTTAACATTATCAATCATTGACTCCTACCCACCTCGTCTCTTCCTCCAATATCTGTTCCTTCTCATACATTTGCTATTGCCATGTTGTGTTGTTCTGTCAAAACAAGTGATGAACAACTCTCCATTGTCCTCCGTTAGTCTTCCATAATCAGCAAATGCTCTGATTGAATTGCTCTATGGTGCGTGTCACACTCTTTTGGGATTCGGAATTGTGATAGAATAATGAAACCATTGTTAGTCTTATTAATATTATAATCGTGAATTAGTTGTGGTTTTCTAAAAGTGTTAATTTTATTAATTGTAAATTAATTGTATTAAAGACTTTTATTTAATTAAAAGTAATGTGGATGTCATTTAATAGTATAAAATTAATCATTTTTAAATGTTTTTAATTCATAATTTAATTTAATTTTTTTTTTTTAGTGACCTGTCCAGAAATTTAATCAGTAAAATTCAAGAAGGAGCTTTTCTAAATTTATCAAATGTAGAAAAACTGTAAGCATTTTTCATTTTAATTACTTTTTAATCATTATAAGAATGTATAATATACGTTTGACTTCAATACACATATTTATGTATGCGTGAATGCACGTGTTAAACTTATATTTACATGCAAACACACAGACGTACTGATCCAAATTAAATCTAATAGTTTTCTTTGTGTAGTGTGTACAATTGTGTCTTGTTCATTACTTTATTTTAGTGTGTTTATATTTATTTATTTACCTTTTTTACTTGAACTTTTCTTTCAAAACAACAATAGCTAATGATTTTCTTATTAGTTTACTTAGTTTAATTGGAGTCAAACAAATATACAAATCTAAATCCCAACTTTGTGTTTAAGTATATAAATTAGATATTACTAGAATTTTTCTGGATAATTGAGTTAAACTATAGTTTTAATTAGCGGCAATTGGTTTGCATATTTTAATTATTAGTATAGTTACGTTCATTTATTTAATGTTAACAATTGGCTGATCAGTTCGAGTGTTCAGTTTGCCACGGAATGGAAGTTTCTTTCCAAAAATCAATAAAATATATATAGATACGTAATGTAATTTCTGCAAGTTATTCTCACATAATCTATAATTATTTAAAGATTAAGAATTTGATAAATTGACCTTTTTAAAATTTAATAAAAAAGAAAAATTATGTTAAAAAGACATTTTAATTAAAAAGTAAATTAACACTTTAAAGCCGTAAATTGTAAAAATTTCATTTATAAAAGTTCTGTACAGTTTTAATATTTGTTAATTTGATTGAATGACACTTGAGACGTTCCAAAAACATAATAATTTAAATTAATTAAATAATTTTTAGATTTATTAAAATATAATTTTTAAAAAAAAATTAAAAGAGTAATTTTTTTGTTTCGTTTTTGTTAATTAAAATGTTTTGACGTTTAAATTGTAATTAGTGATTTTAAAAATTTGAAGCGTCGAGTTAATTTTTTAATAGATTTAAAAAAAAATTTCTTTATAATAAATTTAATTTAAAAAAATCTATTTGTAATGCATAATTAATTAAGCTCTCTGATTTGAAAAATTTGTTTTTGACATTGTTTGATAAAGAGAGAAATTTCTTATCGAGGAAATGAATGGAAGAATTTAATTATTGGATATTAACTGTATTTTAAATAATGAATATGCAAATATTACAAAAGATAAGCTATTATTTGTTCACAATTTTTTTGTTTTTAATATATTAAAATTCCTGGAAACAATTATTTTCAATAAGAGATTTTGAAGTACCACATTAATCAAATTTATTATTGAATTCAGTTCACGTAATATTATTATATATAAAACAGACATAAATAAATAAATAATAAGTTTGTTCGAGCTACTGAGGAGTTTAATATAGCATCTCGCCCCTATGCCGGCAAAGTAATGCCACTAAAATAAAACATAATATATTTTTTTTTGGAATTAAGAGTAATGCAACAATATAGAGAAGGTGTAGAATGAAATGGGTAGAATGAAAGAGGAGAGCCAGCCTTCTTGACTGGTACTCTGCATGAACTACCGGTATCAGCCGTAGCTATCGGTTGTCATGCTGGCAATGACAATTGTTTAAATACAGCCCTGGTTTCAGATACATTAGAAATATATAGTCGTCGCTACTCAGTCTTGATTCAGTACTTAGAATCCAGTATTGGCTTGCATTGTGTGTAGCACGTGTGATACAGCTTCGTTATGTAAACTTACATAAAAGAGGTGTCAAGAGTCCTTCGAGTTGAGGGTGAGGACTTGCAAGGTCCTTTGCAAAACTAAAACTTCCACTAGATAATACTTGACGTGTAATGAAGGAAATTATGCGGAGTGATTATATTAAAATAATAATTCAGATTGTTTTATTAATTTGAGTAGATGTGCATTTATATTCTAATCATGAAGGATGTTAAATACATTCATAAATAATTTAAAAAATAAAAGAAAATTTATAAATACTGCTTTTTAAACTTATTTTTATATGATTTAATGTTATATTTACATAACATCAAAGAATTGAATATGATGTAATAAGAAATTAATAAGTTTCATTTTTTTATATTTATAATCACATTCACAAAAAAATAAATTGTAATAATAGTGTGAATGTGTTTTAACTCTTTTTAAAATAATTTGCATTTTGACTTTTTCCTGCCCTAAGGGCAGTAAGAAGACTTTCTCATGCTTGTGGGTTTGGCTGTGTTCACAATGGGAGCAGTTGGGTTTTGATGGATGAGTGAAATGTTCAGGTCAAATTACCCATGAAAGTTTCTGAGTCTGCAATGTGGATCCCCAGAAACTGATGCCTTTATCATCCGAGCCATCCAGACATTGAATATATTTACTTATTAAGGAGTAAAAGTTTTTCCTAAACTTTTTATGAATTTTTCATTATACAGTTGTATATACAAATGAAAGACTCACACACTTTTGTATGAAATGAAGGAAAAATAACAAGGATGCTATTAAACAATTCAAATAAATATCTAAACAAAATGAGTTTTCTGAATTGATTTCAAACTTAAAAGTACAAGCAAATAACTTCCAAAATAATGATTTAATACATGGAATTGTTTGTCATCTATATCTGCTTGTGCTTTTGGTTCACATTGAATATATACTTCAATAAACAACGTACAAAACCAGTTATAATTGATATATAAAGTATCCTATGTAACTCGCATCACAGGAAAATGAAGTTTGAAAGATCAATAACTGCACATGTTTCGGGCATTGTCCGGATAAGTCAATATTAATGATAGGGAGGAAAATGACTATGCAAAGTTAGATTCTTAAATTTTTTTACAGTTTTTTGTTTCAAAGTAATTTATAATTAAATTTACTTGCAAGTTATGAATAAAATTAAAATAAATAATAAATTAAAAACAGCATTTACGTCATGTAAAAAATTTTTTTACTTCCTTTAACATATATTGCATAACATCTAGATCATAACCAGGATTTTCTCAGCCATCCTAAATGTTCATTCAACAGAAAATGCACATGAATTTAAAATTAATAAGTGTAATTAAGCATAAACACTGTCAAATAATCAATAGTTTCAAATTGAATCTACAATAAATACCGGTATTAAATAATATTTTACGAACAAAGAATTATTTATGTTTTGAGAATAACTTTTATCACATATTAAGGATTTAAAAGTCACAAATAACATACTAAATATTTGATGAACTCTTTGAGTACTTTTTCTGCATTGATAAAGTTTTTCAATTAGAACATTAGTATAAAATGAATTATTTATTTAGTAATTATAAAAATATATAAGATGAAATAATAAAACTATTTATTTACAGTGATTTATCTCATAATAAATTGGCCAGTTTGTCGGCCAGAATGTTCGAGAGTTTAACTTCGTTACAGCGACTGTAAGTTCACTTAAAACATTTTTTTCTAATACATTAACTGATCTTAGTAAGTAAGATGAGATAAATTAGATGATATTTTATGATTTTTTTCTCATTTAATATTAAATATATTCTCATATATATTTAATATTAATATATTATAATAGTATCAATGTGTTTCTTATATTATCATGGTAAGGAATTGTTTATAAGAAATCCTTTTTCTCCTCTTTAAAGTTTAAATATATAAATTTTATTAAAATGCATTATTTTAATGCATTTTAATAAAATTTATATATTTACCATAGAAACTCTAAATATAAATTATGATTTTTTTTAAATTTATAAACTGTTCGGCATAATTTTTGAATTTTGTCGTAGAATGTATTCAGTATTATTTATTTTCTTTCAGCATTAAATTTATTATGATAGACTATTACATGATTTAATAACATTTATGAATAAAGTATATAAAATTTTTCATACGGTTGATTAAATATTTTATAAGCTTTGTAAGTTTACAATGAAAAAAAAAATGATTAGAGGTCGTTATGTTCATCCCTTCTGGCATTTTTCTGGAAAACTTTCTATAAATAAATTGCTATCTAAAAATACAGTTCCACATTTATTAGCAATGAAGTGTTTAATCTAGTTGCTGTTGATTTTTAACATGTCAGCATTTATTTGCCTAATTTTGCAGCAAGATTACTTGAAAGGAAATAAATGACTATTTATTTTAGTGTATTTACTAAGTATCTAATGATAAAAGTTAACAAAACTTTGTACCATGTTAATAAATAAATCATATATTTTTTTTAATATATGATATCCTACTCTTACAAATTTATAATTTCAAAACTTTTATTATATTATAATTGTTCTGGATAGTTTAATTTTAATTCTGTCTTCATATAAAAATGTTCTGAATCATTTAATAATGTCAAAAGAGTCATTCTAAACTGAGTATAGTCAAATGTTTGAAGAAAAACATCATGATTAGATGGCAGAGAAAGTTAAGGGATCATCCTACTTCTTCAGGGATCCAGGACTGAATCCATGAGGTTGAAAAACCCCACAAATTTTTCAAAGGATTGTTTGTCTTGGATGCATTGGACCCCATCTCTCACCATCAGCCCTTAAGGGCCTGACTGGATCTGTAATGGGTAAGATAAAAAGGCTCTCGTAGTGTCTACAGGATAGAAAGAGTAAAAAGAAATGTATGCCTTTATAGTTAAACGTATCCTGTTTTTAAAACTCCATTTTAGTTTGTTTTACAAATCATATATTTTATAAAAATTATCAAAATGTGTTTAAAAATATGAACCAAATAAACTCGAAATCTTTAAAATTAACAAAATAATTAAATGTTGCTGGATTCTTCAAGCTTCTGTAGGAGTAGAAAATGATTACTATAATTTCCTGCAAATAACCTGCAGTTATCTGCGTTTAAAAGTTAATTTGAAAGCGGGTGCAGATTATATGCAGGAAATTACGGTAATTTATTATATAAAATCCAAATTATGTAATGAATTAATTAAATACTAGCCTTAAAATTAGGGCCGTACAGTTGGAGTTGAAAGCAAATTTGTTGCTAGAGGAGTCGGAGTCAGTAAAAGTGGACCAATTCCGACATCTGTTTTTTTTATCATGTATTTTATAGTAAGTTCCTAATAGATATGTAAAAATATTGTCTTATATTATAGGAGCCTCCTGCATAGTAAGATCTTATTTTATGATTTCCCCACTTTCATGATCTTTCTTTGCCTATCACTAATTAGTATCGATTCTCATTTCAGAAATATGTATTTGAATACATTCTGTGTTAGCTAATTCTCAGTTTTTATTGCCAAAAGACTCATATAAGATGGGTAAGAAGACTAAGGTTAAATCTAGTGTTTTTTCATATTTTACTATAACCATAGATGGAAAAGGATAGACTTTATGTATTATGTAGTTGAAGATGATAGTGGTGATAATGAAAAACACTGTGAGAAAGAGTATTTTCAGTGGTTTCGATAGGAATGTCTAAAGATTCACTTGATAGTGATGAAATGCCATTTTTAATATAACCAAGTGTACCGGTATTTTAAATTAAGATTTAAAGACAGGATCTTAGTCAGGGATTCGGCCTATCAGCTCCATAGTTCTGCTTAGAATATTCCCTAAAATTTTAGAAATATTTAGTTATTTGTTTAGTACTAAAATATATTTTGTTAAATTTTCATAGTGACTTGAATTGATAAAGAGGCAGAAATAAAAGTTAAATATTTGTTGATGTAATACATTTTAATTTTATTTTGTTTCAAATATAAACAATATTTCATTATTTTGTAAAATTTTTACATTACTAAAAAGAACAGGAGTGTCAGATATCTTGTTTGAGCAACTTGGAATATCCAAAAGATTAGCTATCCACACAAGATTTTGGAGATTCTTGTTGGGACAGGATAAATTATACTGTCATTAAACATAGATATCAGAACCAAATTAGGTATTAGCAATATAGTGGACAATATTAAAATCTAACAGAAAAAAATCTGTATGGATGATTACTGGCTGACCAGAATAGCATTGTAATATTTACTGAAGGAAAAGGGGCAATCTGGTGTGACAAAAAGATGGAAGGATCAAGAGCATCTTGAGCTGCGGTAGAACAGGTTCCGAGACCTGAAGGATAACTTCATGATGACGGAAGTGAAAAAATTATGTATTTTGTTTTAAGTACAAGTTTAAACGTAGAAAATATTAATTAAACATTTAAAAATTGTACATTTTATCAATAATTTTATTTTTATTTCTGTTTCTTTATCAATTCAAATCATTGCAAACTTTAACAAAACATATTTTAACTGAATATTTCTGAAATATTTTAAGGCTAATTAATTAATCCATTATATAATTTGGATTTTTATACAAAAAATTAATTAGTTTTTATTCCTAAAATAGCTTGGATAATTTAGAAATATTTAATTCAGTGCCATAGCTACAGGGGTGTTATGAGACAGCTAAGCCCCCTAAAAAAATTAAAATAGCCTCCAACTTAGTGCAGCAGTGACTTTCGCTTTTATCATATAAACTTCACTGTTACTGTTTTTTACATGTGAAATGTAGCTAATATTGCTGGCTGGAAAAGCAGGGCTGTGGAGTTGGAGTCATGGAGTTTTGGTGTTTTAGCTGGAGTCGGAGTTGGAGTCGGTAGATTTTTATGTGACTCCACAGCCCTGGCAGGGCTGTGGAGTCGTAGTCGGAGTCGGAGTTGTGGAGTTTAGGTGTTTTAGTCGGAGTCGGATGGTAAGGAAAAGTTGGAGTTGGAGTTGGTAGATTTTTACGCGACTCCACAGCCCTGTGGAGAAGAGAAAAATGTCATTCATCATAACCTTGTTCTCTTTGTGTCTTGTTGATGTCTTAATTTTTTTATTGTATTAACTCTTGTCCCTTGCATTATCGTATACGTAAACCTATTTTTAAAAAATTAAATTAATTAATAATAAACATTCATACCAGGCTTGGAATAGCAAGAAAATTTAAATGTTAAAATTGAAGCTGTTTTAATTTAAATATCATAATAAAATTTAACTTACTATACTATGATAATGAGTATTGAATTTTGGAAAAAAATGATTAATTCAGTTACTAATATAGGGTACATTCCAGTATGTATCAGTCTCAGCCGTAACCGATGTACTGATAGATAGTTTAATAAGCGTTTACTAGAATGTCTGGCAAACTAACAACATGGTGGAAACAAACAGGTCTATATTGGAATTTGCAGACTTATTTTGTCAAAATAACTGGGTTAATACAGATGAGTAGCAAAAATGATGTTAATATTATTAGAGTTGGCCATACTGCTTCATCAGAGCTCGTCGTATTTATGGCCCAACTAGCGTGACGTGCATGGGACACTGCATTGACGAACTCATTAGTGAATGTTGGAACACATTTTAGTATATTGCAGTTCACTGATGCACTGCTTGATGCTTACTGGAATGTATCCATAGTATTTATTGTAATCCATAGTGTATTGAACAGTTTCCTACGTTCATCCCTTCTGGCATTTTTCTGGAAAACTTTCTATAAATAAATTGCTATCTAAAAATACAGTTCCACATTTATTAGCAATGAAGTGTTTAATCTAGTTGCTGTTGATTTTTAACATGTCAGCATTTATTTGCCTAATTTTGCAGCAAGATTACTTGAAAGGAAATAAATGACTATTTATTTTAGTGTATTTACTAAGTATCTAATGATAAAAGTTAACAAAACTTTGTACCATGTTAATAAATAAATCATATATTTTTTTTAATAATATGATATCCTACTCTTACAAATTTATAATTTCAAAACTTTTATTATATTATAATTGTTCTGGATAGTTTAATTTTAATTCTGTCTTCATATAAAACTAATTTAATATTTAAAGTATCATATAAAACAAAGTGTTCAACATGCTTGGATATGGGAGGGGTCCACACCCATTTGGTCCATCCCTCTTATCTATGTTCATGTATATACTGTATGTATTTTATGCATACTTATAATTAAAATATTTGCAATGCCCATTCTACTCTGTTCTTTGCTTAAGAACAGAGAAATTTTAACATATGATTGCACAAAATACAGATATTACTAAATATCACGCATAGTCTTGCATTTGATATTTATTTTCACAAAGTTTTGTATTGTGTTTCATTTATTTATATGCATTTTGATTAGTTGATCTGCTGCTCCATATCTGTTAAACTTAGTAAACAATGATCTTAAAGTGTTTAAAGTGTTATTACTTTTTATAAACTTGTTAATTTGCTTTACATTAATTCTCAGACTAGACTGGGATTTCCTTATTTATATAATTGTATAGCATATTTTGATCAGACTTTATATATTAAATTTTTTAATAGTCTTTTATCTCCTGAAAGGGTTTACCTGGAAGACCTCCTTTATTTAGACTTTCTTCATTTTGAAAAAGCATGCAAGAATTTTATGTATTCTTGCTGATTGTTCATCTCTTGTTGTTGTAT